ACATGCAATGATGCAATTAATAGGCTCGGCTACTAATATGGCATATGGATCAATTTGAACAACATGCGATTAAACACGTATTCAAAGAAGTATTGAAATGACAATGCAGTTTGAATGATGCGCTGAGCATCGGTGCATACAAGACAAATGAATGGATGCAAGCATGCGAGCATAAGGTATGCTAATTTAAAATGTCCCTAATCTAACCATCAAAAGCGATTAAATAAAAGGGAGAAAGATGTGGAGTTGGAAGACATACACACATGCACACACACTTATTACAACATTACGTCCTCGCGAATGAGGGCCCGAATGAATAAGCTAACCAACTAGCAACACTAATTAAGCTAACTATTATGATACTTGAAATGAACTAACTAACTATTCTAAGGTAATTAATTATTACAAACCAGAATCGAATAACTAGTTATAGTAACTAATTAATTACAACACTTGCAAGAATTAGTTACAACTAATTAAATAAGTAAGGTGACTAAATGGCCTCGAGGACGAGGGATGCATGCTCGTTTCCTCTACCCGAAAAAGCCACCGTCTTGCTACTGTGAGCCTCTGTTTGCGCATATTTAAGCACTGAAAATTGTGCCAACTTCCAGAATGCCTCTACTTCAACTTACAAACACACTGTGCAATTTTTATTGGTGGTCGACAGGGGGCCTGTAAGCTATCACTGGTGGCCGGTCAGCCACTGATGACAAGAACTCTTTTTGCTGCAACGGAGAGCAGACAGAGCAAAGAGTATATTCTCAAGGATTGTCTGTATTGTTACTCTCCTTATCATCAAACAAGCTCAAAGGAGTGTAACCCTTGGCCCTTAAACCATCAACCAAGTATTTTCCACGCATGATGGCTAAGGAACCAAGCTTGTACAAGCTTAATGAATGCACTAACAAGACCAAAACAACCACCACCCTATCATGCATGATCAAGGGTGACGGTAACCAAGGAAAGTGGCACATTTCATCACTTCGACTATGAAATGTCCCATTTTCCTCGTGTTCGAATTAACATCCGATCCAAACACATGCAATGCAACACATAAGATGCTCATTTGGGCATGAAAGAGACCTCATGCCGTTGGTAATAAACCCCGAATGGGATTAAACCATTAAGCACCAATGTCTCAATTTCACACTTAAGCAAGCAAGGGGTTTAAAACCACTTTCAAAGAAAATAAAAGAGTGAAGAATCAGGGAGGTTGCCGAAATTTTAGTGCTGAAATGGAGTGCAAAACAACACTAAAACATGCTTTCAACTCAAAACAATAATGAACAAAGCATTAAAACTCCAAGCTAACAAAAGAATTAACACTACAACCATGCCATACAAGGCTCAAAGGGCTTAACCAGCCTAAAAAAGAGCTAAAACAAGTCAAAATAGTTGGAAAAACATGCTGGACCAAAGCTAAGTTAGGCTATAAAAACATGTTAACATGTAAGGCAACTAGGCATGCAAGCAAGACAACAAGGAGGGGAGGCTAACCCCTCCAATTTTGGACTTCAAAAGGAGGTTTTTGCCACCAAAAACCTCTAAGATTTAGTGGTTAAAAGTCACAAAAAGTTTGATTTGAATGTAAAGAAAAATAGCACAAAAAGCTTCACAAGCTACGGAGCCAAAAATGTTTTTTTTTTTTTGGGAGGGACAACCCCCTAACTCACAAAGACGGGGGGGGGGGACAACCCCCTAACTCACAAAGGCTCAAACCACCATTTTTATGCCTCAAAAATAGAGTTTTTTACACCTCAAAAACAACCTTAAAACAATTGAAAAAGATGGGAAAATAAGTATGCACAATAAGCTTAAACTAAGGTAAGTTCTTTACCTTTGAAGCACAGCACAAAACAGCCACAAATTCAAGCTCAAACCCCCTTCCAAGGCTCAAACAAAGCTCTAAGGGACATCAGCTCAAAGGTGAAAGTGTTGGTTAAGGTTGATGTGCAAAAGTGTAGGGAAAACTAACTACAAAGCACAAAATATCAAGTGAGAGAGAGAAAGCTAGAGAGAGAGAGAGAGAGAGGAAGAAATTTTTTGTGTAAAATGTCTAACCCCTTAAAATGAGGGAGGACACCCACTATATATAGAACATCAAGTCTTGAGCTTGAATACATCCTACCATACATGTGTATGAAGATGCAGCTCGGTGAGCAACAGCTGGCACAGCTGGCAACAAATATCCAGAAATATCTGGAAAAAGAGACTGGTGGCTGTCGGCCACATCCATGGCCGACAGGCTTATCCCATGGCCAACAGCCTTGGAGGGTGGCCAACAGGCCACCAAGAGATCCAAACACCAAGTTTTGGTCCAAAACACGGCAGAGAAAGAATAAGGTTCAAAGGCTCAAAGACAGGGCGTTTCGTCGAGGACTTCAGGCGCTCAAAAACAAACACAAACAAACACAATCATCGGGCGTACAAACGATGAAGTCTAAGTCTTAAGGACGGTCAGAAATGGGGTGTCTACATTAGCCAGCGTGTATTTCTATTTGATGATAATTGGACGCATCTGAACTCCAAGTGGGATGTCTACCATAGAAGATAGAGTTGCTAAAGCATCCGCGCACCTGTTGTTCTCTCTTAATATATATGTGAATGTCAGTTTTTCAAGCCTAGGAATCAAACCATCCAGGGTCTGATGGTAAACCTTCATCTTCTCATCTTTGACTTTCTAGTCTCCATTTGCTTGGGAGACAACCAAGTTGTGTGTCCCCAATGACATCCAACCTTATTGCCCCTAGTTCTGAGGAAGCTTCTAGACCAGCAATACACGCTTCATATTCTGCTTCACTGTTGGACACCTTGAACTGGAGTTTGAAGGCTAAAGGTCTATGGGAGTCGTCGGGTGCTATCAGCAACACACCTATCTCATAAACGCATTGATTAGGCACTCCATCAAAGTACATCGTCCAAGTTTCCTCTTCAACTTGTAGAATGTCTTCATTTGGGAACAGGTATTCCACTGCCTCATCTCCTTCTACAGGGTGGTCTGCCAGGAACTTTGCTACAACTCTTCCTTTAACCTACTTGTGGGTGATATATTTGAGATCAAATTCGAAAAAAAGAAGCAACCAACGAGCCAGCCTACTCATAAGCGCTGGTTTCTCAAAGAGATATTTGATGGGGTCAAATCTTGAAATCAGGATTACAGAGTGAGCTAACAAGTAGTGCCTCAACTTCTTGGTAGCCCATTCCAAGGCTAGGAAAGCTTTCTCCAAAGAAGTGTAGCAGGTCACATAGTCTAGCATTTTCTTGCTCAAGTAGTAGATGGCTTTTTCAACCCTATCTTCGGATTCCTGAGCAAGCATACATCGCATGGTCGTATCTATCACTGACAAGTACAGAATCAGAGGTTTCCCCAGCTTCGGCGGCGATGACATAGGCGAATTCTGGAGGTACTGCTTAACCTATTCAAAGGTAAACTAACACCGATCATCCCATCAGAATTTATTCCCTTTCTTCAAGAGACCAAATAGTGGTTCATAAGTCTGTAGACTTGACTTTCTTCACGTCCCCTTTCGGAGAGCTCGAATTGGTCCTACAGTTCGGACTCTTGTCACGGTTCTGAATCTAATCTCACAAAGTGCAATGTGAGACTGATAAACACCAAAGAGTCCAATCCGGCAAATCATTTTGGAAAATCAATTTTGAATCAAATAATGCCAAAACTGGACTACTTTGCCAGATTACAGAGTTGCCACCTAAATTTTTTTTTTTTTTTGGGTAATTTAGGAAACCCTAACTTGTGCTAAAGGCGATATGTCCGTCATCACCAAAGCTGCCTCGGCTTGAGAACTTGGGTACAAGAGGGGAAGGTCCTGAAATGAGCACCCCCGCTCGCCCAATCAAAGGATCGGCCTCTATTAAGCATGATATGTTGTTTTATAAACCTCATGTGTTCCTATCCAGTTATTAGCTAACTTTACTATGTGACGCACACAAGCAAGTATAGACTAAATCGCAAAAATTGGAACAAATCAATTCATGTTTGTTTTTGAAAAATGGTTTGAAGTGCCACCCTCAAGTGGGCTAAAGCGCGGATTTGCCACCCTCAAGTGGGCTTAAAACACGATGATTTGCCACTTCACAAAGTGGCTTAAAACTCACATTCATCGAATTGTTCCAATTCAAGTAATAAAGCCTTCATCCACAGGCATTCATGCAGTTAATCATTTAAGCATATAACCTCATGGCAAGTAGGCGATCATGGCAACACTCACACTTATGCAAGTATGCTAAAGTGTAAAACTTACAGTGTACTCCGAGCCAAAACAAAATGTAGTTAGAAATATGCATGATCCTAACTATACAAGATGCCTAATGCAACACATGCAATAATGCAATAAGATAGGCTTGACTATCTAAGATGGCATATGAATGCAACAATTTGATACACGTATTCAAATAAGTATTGCAATAGAATGTAGTTTCAATGATGCGCCGAGTCCGGTGCATGCAAGACAAATGAATGATCACTACAAAAAAAAGGCCTTTGGTGACAGATTGATTTTGTCTCCAAACATCAAATTTTCGTCACTAAAGTGATTTACGACGAAAAAAATTTGTCACCACGTTCGTGGCCGACGAAATATTCAGCAAATGTGACGAAATTATTTGTTTGGTATTATATCATTAGTGACAAAATTATTCGTCATGTTTTTTGAAAACTAAAAGCGACATTTTTTATTTCGTCACTAATAAAAATTAAAATTTTTTAAAATGGGGGTACAATTTTCTTCCAAATTTTTTTCTTTTCAGTAACAATTCCTTGCGGATTTCAATAACCTATTCAATAAAATATCTATTACAAATCAATACAAGAATCTGTTCATTTTCATAAACGTCACAATTGAATTTCAGCACTATCCACAAAAATACAAAATGAACTGCATGCGGATTATAAACATGTCTCCTAATATCCACAAACAACGTCTACTAATATCCACAAAAATATCATATCAACCGCATGCGGATTACCAAACACATCTCCTAAATTCCAACAACAAAACATGTCTACTAATATCAACAAAAATAAAATATCAAGGGCAGATTACCCAACATGCCCTGTAATACCAACAAAAATATAAAATTTACAATGCAACCAAAATACATATAAGGTAATATGAAACAAAACACAAAATGAGCTACCATCTGCCCTCCAAATTACTAACCATGTCCATATCAAATGTCGAATCTGCAAAAAAGTGAAACACAAAAAAGAAAAAAAAGAAAAAAAAATGCAAGTTAGACAATTATTATCTTATCCATAAAATATACAATTTAACATGTATTTTTTGAATTAGTTTTCAAATCGGGAGTCCGGTGCAAGGTCCGTAAGTTTCCAGAACTTACATTTGTCCCTCCCGATGTGTTTGAGGTGTTCCCCGGGCCGTCCCGTGGTTGTTGCACGATTTTGGCCCCCGAATGTCTTTTTTTCAAGCTTAAGCATGAAAAAGTGCAATTTTGGACTTAGTTTTTAAACCGGGAGTCCCGTGCTAGTTCCGTAAGTTTCCATAACGTGCATTGGTCCCTTCCGAGGTGTTTGAGGTGTTTCCCAGGCCATCTCGTGGCTGTTGCACGATTTTGGCCTCCCATGGCCTATTTTCAATCTTAAGCGTGAAAAGGTGCATTTTTTGACTTAGTTTTCAAATTGGAACTCTCGTGCTAATTCCGTAAGTTTTCACAACTCACATCGGTCCCTCTCGAGGTGTTCGAGGTGTTCCCCAGGCCGTCTCGTGGCTGTTGCACGATTTTGGCCTCTGATGGCCTATTTTTAAGCTTAAGTGTGAAAAATTTCATTTTTCGACTTAGTTTTCAAATCGGGAGTCCCGTGCTAGTTCCGTAAATTTTCACAACTCACATTGGTCCCTCCCGAGGTGTTTGAGGTGTTTCCCAGGCCGTCTCGTGGCTGTTGCACGATTTTGACCCCCCGATGGCCTACTTTGAAGCTTAAGTGTGAAAAAGTGCAATTTTCGACTTAGTTTTCAAACGGGGAGTCCCGTGCTAGTTCCATAAGTTTTCACAACTCACATTGGTCCCTCTCGAGGTGTTTGACATGTTCCCCGGGCCGTCTCATGGCTGTTGCATGATTTTGGCCTCCGATGGCCTATTTTCAAGCTTAAGTGTGAAAAAGTTCATTTTTTGACTTAGTTTTCAAACCGGTAGTCCCGTACTAGTTTCGCAAGTTTCCATAACTCGCATTGGTCCCTCCCATGGTGTTTGCGATGTTCCTGGGGCTGTCTCATGGCTATTGCACGATTTTGTCTTCCATGGCCTATTTTCAAGTTTAAGTGTGAAAAAATATATTTTTCGACTTAGTTTTCAAACGGGGAGTCCCGTGCTAGTTCCGTAAGTTTTCACAACTCACATTGGTTCCTTCCAAGGTGTTTGACGTGTTCCCCGGGCCGTCTCGTGGCTGTTGCACAATTTTGGCCTCCAATGCCCTATTTTCAAGTTTAAGTGTGAAAAAGTTCATCATTTTTCGACTTTGTTTTCAAACTGGGTGTCCCGTGCTAGTTCCGTAAGTTTCCACAACTCACATTGGCCCCTCTCGAGCTGTTTGAGGTGTTTCCTGGGCCGTCTCATGGGTATTGCACGATTTTGGCCTCCGATGGCCTATTTTCAAGCTTAAGTGTGAAAAAGTGCATTTTTCGACTTAGTTTCCAAACTGGGAGTCCCGTGCTAGTTTCGTAAGTTTCCATAACTCACATTGGTCTCTCCCGAGGTGTTTGACATGTTCCCCTGACCGTCTCATGGCTGTTGCACAATTTTGGCCTCCGATGGCCTATTTTCAAGCTTAAGTGTGAAAAAGTGCCTTTTTGAACTTAGTTTTTGAACCGGGAGTCCCGTGCTAATTCTATAAGTTTCCACAACTCCCATTGGTCCCTCCCGAGGTGTTTGAGGTGTTACCTGGGCCGTCTCGTGGCTGTTGCACGATTTTGGCCTCTGATGGCATATTTTCAATCTTAAGCGTGAAAAAGTACATTTTTGGACTTACTTTTCAAACCGGAACTCTCGTGCTAGTTCCGTAAGTTTTCATAACTCACATTGGTCCCTCCCAAGCTGTTTGAGGTGTTACCTAGGCCGTCTTGTTGCTGTTGCACGATTTTGGCCTCCGATCGCCTATTTTCAAGCTTAAGTGTGAAAAAGTGCATTTTTGGACTTAGGGGTTGTTTGGGATGATCTAAATAAGTGCACTTTTTGACTTTTTTATGAAATATGGGTTGGGTTTGAAGTGATATGGTAGAGAGATGATATGACTTAGTTAAGATAATGTGATTTAAATAGGATGGTGACTTTTTGACTTTTTGGCTTTTTTAGAGGATGTCAAACCTAGCCTTAGTTTTCGAACTGGGAGTCTCGTGCTAGTTTCGTAAGTTTTCACAACTCACATTGGTCCCTTCTAAGGTGTTTAAGGTGTTACCCGGGCCGTCTCGTGGCTGTTGCCCGATTTTGGCCTCCGATGGCCTATTTTCAAGCTTAAGTGTGAAAAAGTACATTTTTGGACTTAGTTTTCAAACCAGGAGTCCCGTGCTAGTTTCGTAAGTTTACGCAAGCTAAAATGGTCCCTTCCGAGGTGTTTGAGGTGTTCCCTGGACTTTCTCGTGGTTGTTTCACGATTTTTGGCCTCAATGGACTATTTTCAAGCTGAAGTGCTGGAAAAGTGTATTTTTTTGACTTAGTTTTCAAAGCGAAAGTCCCGTGCTAGTTCCTTAAGTTTTCACAACTTACATTGATCCCTCCCGATGTGTTTGAGGTGTTCCCCAGGCCTTCTCGTGGAGGTTACATGATTTTGGCCCCCAATGGCCTATTTTTAAGCCTAAGTGTTGAAAAAAGTGCATTTTTTGACTTAGTTTTCAAATTGGGAATCCCGTGCTAGTTCTGTAAGTTTTCACAATTTACATTGGTCCCTCCCGAGGTGTTTGAGGTGTTTCCCAGGCCTTCTCGTGGCTGTTACACGATTTTGGCTCCCCGATGGCCTATTTTCAAGCTTACTCAATCTTAAGTGTTGGAAAAATATATTTTTCGACTTAGTTTTCAAAACGGGAGTCTCGTGCTAGTGTCGTAAGTTTCCAAAACTTACATTGGTTCCTCTCGAGGTGTTCAGGGTGTTCCCCAGGCCTTCTCGTGGCTGTTACACGATTTTGGCTCTCTGATGACCTATTTTCAAGCCTAAGTATTAGAAAAGTGCATTTCTTGACTTAGTTTTCAACTGGGAGTCCCATGTTAGTTCTATAAGTTTTTAAAAGTTACAATGGTCCCAAAATATTGCAAGTATTTTGGTTTAATAATATTGCAAGTATTTTTAGGTTGTAGCGGTTTGTGAGTTTTCTCTCTGTTCTCTCCATTCTATTTTATATCACTCAGTGCATAGCATCTTACCATGAGGCATCCCTCAGCTGATTCACCTCCCACCAACCACACAAATCTCTCTCTCTGTCTCTCTCTGTCTTTCTCTCTCTCTCTAATTTCCTGTTTTCCTTTTTCTTTTTAACACACGTGTTCCCAAGATTGCCAAATATACACTTACTAAGATGGAAAAGCATTGCCAAATATACAAGCTACACATATTAAAGAACCTATTTTGTGTCTAGAGAAACCAAGGAAAAAGAACATACTCTGCAATTATTCTGGTGCAAAGAAATTTGTCTTCCTTTAGTTTAGAAAAATATTAAATAAGATATGTAGATAAGGTTTACGAGCAGGTACAAAATGTTTTCCGTAAGAAACCCGAATTCCAAGAAAAAATAAACACCTAATTCTAATACTAGTTTTCAAGCATCTCTTTGCAGCATTCTAACACAGACAAAGAAATGGAAACTGCTTCTTGAAATACTAGCACTTCAAATAATTTGCAGTCCAAAGTCATCTTCATGAAAATGGGTATAACTGGCTTCCTAGGAACAAAATATAGTTCAGTGCTCATGTTAATTATCACTTCACATAGAAATTGGTGGTTTCAAACTACCAACACATACAATACAATTACTCCAGTGCAAAGAAATTTGTGTTGCTTTGGTGTAGAAAAGAATTAAATAAGTTATGTAGAATGGTTAGATTTTCAAGCATTCATTTGTAGCAGCACTCTAATGCTGACATAGAAATGGAAACCATTCTAAAATTACATGCTTCATCTTCATGATTAGGTAAAATAGGTACTACTGGCTCCCTAAGAACAAAAATATAGTTCAGTCATCATGTTAATTATCACTTAAAACAGAACTTGATGGTTTCAAACCACTATTAATGAGATGAGATGAACTCATTATTTCATTAACGTTGGGGAATATCATCTTAAAATAATACAAAATAGATACTACAGAAGATACAAGCAAAGTATATAACTTTGGGTTAGTTTGCATTTATGATGAAGCATACCTCTGGGTTGCTTCTCCTCCTCTACGAACGGCACATCAAATAATGTTTCAGCAGAATCATTCTTAGGTAACCCTGACACGCTGGAAATTTCGTTCTCCTTCTGTTTGTAGTTAATAAGAGATGCATCAGAATTATGTCCAGATGCATTCAATGAGATTCCATTTTCACATGAAACTCCCGTACTGTCTGAGTTATTAAGTACCATTGAGAAACTTCTCTCTGATTTGTTGGACTCTAATCCAGAAACTTTGTTGTCAGATACTCCTCGAAGAGGTGATCCAATTGGATTGGGAAGTTGTTCACACATAACCAGAATAGACACCATAGCCTACATTACATGGACTCGGGTACGGATGTCGGGTGCGGGTATGTATCTAGAGATCGGACTCATCAAACCATAAATTTAAGGGTACGTGGACTCGGCAAAAATATGTCATATTTTTATATTTTTAATTAAGTATATGCGATAAAAATGGTCCTATATGTAACTTATAGTGTTAAGAAGACATTTATAGCAATTATACAATAATATATACATATAATAATAGTGTTATATATAATTATATGAGAAGTTTCCATTGAAAAGTAGCCGACATATATCCCATACCCTTGTTCGAGTGTCGGGTGTCCGACATGGGTATTTGATTTATTTTGAAGAGTCCATGTAACATAGACCATAGCTGTACTCTCCAAAACCTTTGTCATGGGACAACGACGATTTTTCCGTTTTAAGAACTCATGAACATGGGCCACTTGAGATCTCTTACTTTTCAACGATGATACTATACCCGTTTGCCAAAAGGTAAAGATAACCAAAAATATAACAGCACAAAATTAGCCAGAGAGCTTATTTCCAACAAGAAAATTTGTCACTGTTATGAACAAATTCAGCAACCTGCAGCTTGGGACAAATACATTCATACCATAACCAAACAAGGGACTTATTAACATATTAACAAAGTAGCTTGATAAATAAATAAAAAACACCAAAAAATATAATTTTGAATTTTCAAAAATTATTTCCACCCCCCAAAAGAGAAAATCATCCAAAATTAACGAAACTTTTCCCCATTTATTTCACCATATTTGAACAAAAATGTAAAAAAATAAAATAAAAAATTCAAAAAGCTCACTCAAACAGAGACCCTTACAATAAAACCAAATTTTGTGTTATGTATGCCACAAATTAGAGAATTTAATTCATGAAGTGTCACAACCTATGACCATGGAAGAATATAGCTGAAGTTTAGGTTGAACCAAGCATCAAACCAATTGGAACAATAGCAGCCTATAAAATAAACAAAATAGGATATATACATAAGCAGAATGAGATACATTAGAAGAATAGGAATTTAGCATCAAGTGCACAAGGGATACATTAGCAGAATGGAAGTTCTAGAACCAACCAGAAAATCTGAGAGACTTCCAATTTCAATTACAATTGAACTGTGTTTTTAATCCCATCGATTATTCAATTCCATTTTACACCTATAATTTTGAATCTAAACAGTGGTAATTAGACTAAGAGTTTATGAAACCCTAGCTTCAATTCCTTTAATTTGTGAATCAAAAGCAGTAACTATAGATTCATACACGAGGAGGTTGACTAAATTTCCTAAAATAAAGGCATAAATAAATAAAAATCAATAAAATAGGTTTTCTAATTTTGAAGTAGAACACCAAAATTCAAAAGACATAAATTTAGATGTACATACAGAGTCGTATATATTATACAAAGATATATAAAACAATTAAGAATCAAATAGAATAAAAATACTTCATCAATTCACAAATGAAAAGGTTCGATTCAGATGTATTTATAGAGAGAGAGAGAGAGAGAGAGAGAGAGAGAGAGAGAGAGATATTCATGTGACACCTACTTCTGTTCCACGGCCTTGGAGAGCCCAGCCCCATACAAGCTCTCGAGAACGATGTTGAAATCCTTAGCACAATGAACCAAGCTCTCGCAAACCAATGTAGAGACGCTGGGATGCTCGGTGAGGAGCTGATCGGCGTTGAATTGAACGACAACGGCCTTGAGGACTTCGTTGTCGATCGAAGGAAGGACTTTCTCATCATATTCGAGGTCTGGGGTTTGAATGATTCGTGATGAGCCGATCGGCACAGCGGCAATGTGTGTGAATCGACGAAATGTTAGCAGCGGCAGTGAGAAACTGTGTGTGAATGAGTATAAGGTGTGTGTGTGTGTGTGTGTGTGTGTGTGTCTGAAATTAGGTTTGATGGAGAAATTATTGTGTGTGTCTGTGTGTGTAAAAGCAAGCATGAATGTTTTTTTTTTTTAAACATATGCAGACTAGGTGAGAAGAAGAAGAACCGATTGCTTGATCTATTTCTATAGGCGCCAATGCATTTTTATTTCCCTCTAAAATATTTTGCAACTAAATCATTTATTGGTGACAAAATTATTTCTTCACCAAAAATAAAAATATTGGCCACAAAAAGAGTTTTGTCACTAAATGATATTAAAAATTATTGGTGACAAAAATATATTCGTCATTAATAATTTTATAATTGGTGACCAATTTTTTTGTCACCAAAAGTCTCAAAATTTTGGTACCCTCCGAAAAAATTAGCGAAAAAATCTTCGATGACAAAAAAAAAAAATAATGATGAAAAATAATTTTGTCACCTAATTTTTTATTATGTATTTAGATTGGTGACGAAATTTGATTTTTGTCTCTAAAAATGGTACATTTGGAGACGAAATATTATTTTTATCATTAAAAGATACGTATTTCGTGACAAAATTTATTTTTGTCTTTAGTTTTCGTCTCTAAAGACTATTTTTGTTATAGTGGATGCTAACATGCAAGCATAATGTATGCTAATCAAAACGTGCCCTAATCTAACCACCGAAAGCGGATAAATAAAGGGAAAAAAAAGACATGGGGTTGGAAGACATTCACACACACACGCATGCTTATTACAACATTGTGCTCTCTCAAATGAGGGTCCGAATAAATAAGCTAAGCTACACTAAGCTAAGCTAATTATTATAAAATGAATTAATTAACTATTCTAAGCTAATTAATTATTACAACACAATTGAATAACTAGCTACGCTAAGCAAATTAAAATATTACAAAAGGAATTGAACTAATTAATTACAACGCATGTAATGATTAGCTACACCGAACTAATAAAGCAATAAAGCGGCCTCACGGGCAAGGGAGACATGCATGCTCGGTTGCGTCCTCCTAAAAATCCATCGCCTTGCCACCAGTTGCCTCTGTTTACACTCATCTTGATCTCTGAACAATAAACTAATATTCTAGACTGCCACTGCTTCAAAACAGGAACACTTTTGCACAAGAATGGATTGGTGGCCGGTCGGCCGCAGAAGGTGGCTATCAGTTACTTCATGTGGTCGGTCGGCCACTACTTTTTCCAGGCTTCTGGTTTTGCTGGAACAGAGAGCAACAGAGGCAAAGCAATGTATTTGCAAGGAAATGTGTGTACTGCCACCCTCCTTATCCTGTCTCAAGCTCAAAGGAGTATGGCATTTGGCTCTCAAGCCACCAATAAAGCAATTTCATGCATGATGGCCAAAGAGACATGCTTGTACAAGCTTAACGAATGCACAAATAAGACTCAAAGGCCCACCACCCTATCATGCATGATCAAGGGTAATGGCGACCAAGAAATATGACATGTTTCATCACTTTGAGTATGAAAATGTCCCACATTTCTTGTGTTTGGATTAACGTCTCATCCAAACACATGCAATGCAACACACATGTTTATCTTGCTCAAGTTTTACTTGATTGATTTTGTTTACTCATTTTAGCATTACCAAACCATTCTTTAGTTGGTTAAGTCCAATGTGAGAGTCCTCTAATGAGAGATGGGTCAACCAAAGGATGATTTAAGACATGAGAGAGATCATGTTGTTGGTTAGGAGGAACCCTCAAAAGAGAGTTAAAACCATTGAGCACAAGCTCTATATCAAGCTTAAACACAACCTTAAGGTTAACCAACCCTCAAAGAAAATGGAAAAGTGAAGAAATGAGGGAGCTTGTAGATATTTCAGTGCTTAAATGGCATGAAAAATGATACTACGACATGCAAACAACTCATGCACAACATGTTCAAAAGCCAAAAACACTAAACTAGTGAAGAGCACTACATTAGAGGAATGCAATACAAAGCTCAATTGAACAAACCAGTTCAAAGCAGAGCTTAAACATGGAAAAACAAGAGCTAAAACTTGTTGAGATTAAGGTACATGCAATGCAACACACATGTTTATCTTGCTCAAGTTTTACTTGATTGATTTTGTTTACTCATTTTAGCATTACCAAACCATTCTTTAGTGGGTTAAGTCCAATGTGAGAGTCCTCTAATGAGAGAGATGAGAGAGATCATGTTGTTGGTTAGGAGGAACCCTCAAAAGAGAGTTAAAACCATTGAGCACAAGCTCTATATCAAGCTTAAACACAACCTTAAGGTTAACCAACCCTCAAAGAAAATGGAAAAGTGAAGAAATGAGGGAGCTTGCAGATATTTCAGTGCTTAAATGGCATGAAAAATGATACTACGACATGCAAGCAACTCATGCATAACATGTTCAAAAGCCAAAAACACTAAACTAGTGAAGAGCACTACATTAGAGGTATACAATACAAAGCTCAACTGACCAAACTAGTTCAAAGCAGAGCTTAAACATGGAAAAACAAGAGCTAAAACTTGCTGAGATTAAGGCATAAAAGGCTAGAAAAAACATGCTCACATGTTAGGCTACAAACAAGACTCAAAAGCAACTCTAAAAAGCAATATAAGGGTTGGTTTGGGAAGTGGGTTGGCTTTTTGGCTTTGTTGGCTACTTTAGCCTGGGCTAAAAAGTAAGGTTTGGGAAGAGCTTTTTGACTTTTTGACTTTTTTGGCTTTTTTTGTGAGAAAAGAGTGTAATGATTATGGGTTGGATGTGATGTTTTGTTTGTTGTGGCTAAAATAGCCTATTTTGTCTTTTGTGGCTAAATTAGCCACAGACCTCTTCCCAAACGGAACCAAAGAGTGAAGTAAATGAGCATGCGACAGAGCCATATACACTGAAATTACATGCAAAATGATGCTACAACATACAAGCAACTCATGCACAACATGTTTAAAAGCCTAACTCATTAAGCTAGTGAAGAGCATTACACTATAGCCGTGTAATACAAAGCTCAAAAGGGACAAACAGTCCAAAACAGTCCTAAAACAACTTAAAAGAAGTCCTAAAACATGCTTGAAGTAAGCTAAAAATAGCTAGAATGAGAGGCCAACACATAGCACAAACTAGATTATTAAGCACCATTGCACTACAAGCATACAAAGGAA